GTGAACAACACCATCTCGAACCCACATCTACTGTCAATCAACGCCAAAGATAGAATGTTCAATACAAATGTTAAAACAATTCTACTACTGTATGGGTTGAAAATTTGAAGAACTACCAAAGCCATCATCCAGAAGATATAAGTATTTATGAACAGTTGTCTACGCAAAATAGCGAGGATTCGTTGGCCAGACACTATCAGCCACAACTTACTTTGTGGGAGAGAACAAACGAGATCCCAGTGGAAGAGGAAATGAAGAAGAAGCGATGAAAGGGAATAGGACACACACTACGAAGAGCACCCAACTGCGCACAAGGCAAACCCTCATATGGAATCCTCAAGGTGAAAGGAAAAGAGGAAGGTCAAGGATGATTTCTACAAACCAATGACCAATAGTATCAATGAAATCGGTTTCCTAGACAATCTGATTCGTTTATGAACTATTGTAGTGAACGAGAACACAGATGAGGGCAACCGAATTGTATTTAACCAAAAATACAGAGTTACTCAGTAAAATTGGAAAACCATATCGTAAATCGTTCATTTGCAAAATATCAGTTCATCATATCGAACTGGACTATTCCTGTTGCAAACAACATCAATCCATTGTCACTCACTATTCATGCGTTTCATACAAATTCCATTGTGTTCCCACTCTTCTTCCTTTCTTGATCTTCCCCCATGTTCTGCTGCCAGACATTACGTTGACTGACACTCACGTTATATACTACTTATAAGTAGCTCACACCACACTATGATCAAAACTTACTACAGTGATGTCAACCTATCCACAATGTTCATTGTGACAAACCACTGGTTTTGACAAGGAAATTTTCAGCTCTCTCTCTCTCTCTCTCTATATATATATATATATATATATATATATATATATATATATATATGTTGGGAGAGGAGTTATTTTTTTATAAAAGTGAAATTCTCATTTCTTTTCTCCAGCCATATTAACACCGTGAATTTAGCGTAGTATCACTATCTGTTGTAATAAAAACTTTCTAATATAGACAATATGAGTTGAGATGAAAATATGAAGTTATAAAGGTGTAGAATAATTTTGAAGCTAACAATAGCGTAGAAGATTACGACTGAATGCAATCGGCGTATATGGAATGGATTTTGAGCAATGACATTATTCAATGACTCCAACTATGGATTAGTGATAATCGAGTTGAATCTCAGTTACCTAGTTTGTATATAACTGTGTATTTCCCCAATTAATGGGGGACATTAACACCTTTACATATCTCGGCAGCATCATTGACAATCAAGGTGAATGTGATGCAGATGTGGGGGGGGGGCGCGGATCGGCAAAGCAAGGGCTGCATTTCTACAATTGAATAATATCTGCAACTCCAAACAAATATCAATCAACACCATAATCAGGATTTTCAATACAAATGTCAAGACAGTTCTACTGTATGGAGCGGAAACTTGAAGAACTACGAAAGCCATCATCCAGAAGATACAAGTGTTTATTAACAATTGTCTACGCAAAATACTTCGTATTCGTTGGCCAGACACGATCAGCAACAACGAACTTTGGGAGAGAACAAACCTGATTCCAGTGGAGGAGGAGATCAGGAAGAAGCGGTGGAAATGGATAGGACACACTACGAATAGCACCTAACTGCGTCACAATACAAGCCCTCATGTGAAAGCCTCAAGGCAAAAGGAAAAGAGGAAGGCCAAGGAACACATTACAAGACATGAGACGAATGAACAAAAATTGGACAAAACTGGCCATGGAAGCCCAGGACAGAGTTGGTTGGAGTAAACTGGTCGGCGGCCGATGTGTGTGTGTCCATGTGTGTGTGTGAGTAGTATGTGTTGTTGCATGTTTTATGAAATTTTTCAATTCAGTTATAATATGATCATTGAGAGATCACTATTGTAAACTTGAAAGCACATTTAATAGCCATGTAGATCCTGCTGGTATGAGATAAATCAGTGGCAGTGTACAACACTCATGACAGCTGATCGAGGTAGTTGAACCCAGGACCTCTGGACTAGGGCATGAATGTTCAACGTCTTGACCATTGAATCGGCATCCGGTAGGGATAATATCGAACTTAAATCAATCTAAGATATTGAATAACCATCATCCATTGTCTTCTGTGGACCTCACTGGTCATGATTCCTTACTAAGACTTTTAGGAACTCACTCATCAAGTTGATCGCTAGTAAGCATGTGATCACAGTCGCTATAGGAATTCGAAACTCACTAGTGACTAACTTTGTCAAATAATCCTGAGGGTTCTATTGAAGAGACATGATGAGTGAGGCTCAACCGTATTGAGTATGTGTGTGTTAGTGTGTATCTGTGAACTATTAGTTTATCTCCACATTTTAATATTTCCCATAAACAGTAAGATTCTACGATATAACACAACATGCGTCAACCAAATCACTCTTGATGGAGATGCCTTGGAGGACGTTAACACCTTGACATATCTTGGCAGCATCATGATCGACAAGCAAGGTGGATTAGATGCAGATGTGAGGGCGCGGATTGGCAAAGCAAGGGATGCATTTCTACAATTGAAAAATATTTGGAACTCCAAAAAACTTTCAACCAATATCAAAATCAGGATTTTCAATACAAATGTCAAGACAGTTCTACTGTATGGAGCGGAAACTTGGAGAACTACCAAAGCCATCATCCAGGAGATACAAGTGTTTATGAACAGTTGTCTACGCAAGATAGTGAGGATTCGTTGACCAGACACCATCAGCAACAACGTACTGTGGTAAAGAACAAACCAGATTCCAGTGGAGGAGGAAATCAGGAAGAAGCTGTGGAGTTGGTGGATAGGATACACACTACGAAAAGCACCTAACTACGTTACAAGTCAAGCCCTCACATGGAACCCCCAAGGTGAAAGGAAAAGAGTCATCGTCATCTTGATGATGGGGTCGTTTCTAGAAGCATTTTGTATGTCTGTTGCAGACACCGGTAATGCGCGAACTGCGGATGTCAGATAACATTCTGTGTGGTCTTCTACTGACAGAGATGCGATCACCATGTTTTCCTCAGCCGCCACTTGATCATTCTATCGCTGACGG